GAAACGTGCCCGACCACCTCGGGCGCGGCGTCTTTGATCCCAGACGTGAGGATGTTTAAAGCGAAACGAGATGGACCACCTCGCGCGCAGCAGCTCGGAGCTCAGACTTGTGAAGATGTTTCAAGCACAACGCGCCAGACCACCTCGCGCGCGCGGCAGCTCGGAGCTCAGAGTTGAGAGGTCGTCTCAGGCGAAACGCGCCAGACCACCTCTCGCCCAGAAGCTCGGAGCCCAGAAGTGTGAGGATGTCTCAGGCGAAACGGGCTGGACCACCTCGCGCGCGGCAGCTCGGAGCTCAGAGTTGCGAGGGTGTCCCAATCGAAATGCGACAGACCACCTCGCGCGCGGCATCTCGGAGCTGAGAGTTGCGAGGATCTCTCAGGCGAAACACGCCGGACCTCCTCTTGCTCAGCCTTTGGGAGCTCAGATTTGCGAGGATGTTTCAAGCGAGCCAAGCTGGACCACCTCGCGAGCAGCATCTAGAAGCCCAGAATTGCGAGGATGTCTAAGGCCAAACGCCCAATTCTGGCCAACTCAGAATCGAGAGTTGTGAGGATGACTCTGGCGGAACGGCCTGGACCATCAATTTTGTTTTGAGGATGTGTCTGAGCGGGCGTTCCTCGAGCGAAACTAGTTAACGACCACAACAGCAACCCGTTCAGCAAGCTAGTTGGGGAAGAATCCAGCAAGACCAGGCAGAGTTCTCCCCTAGACGACCCAAAGAGAGCCGCACGATGGCCCAAGATGGCCCCCAGACGCTCCCAAAAGCTGTCCACATCGTGACCCGATCGTCGAGGGAGACCGTGGTTGGCACCAAGTTCCCTCCAAGAAGCCCACGGAGGCCCCTAAAACGCTGCCGGCAGGCCTCCCGAGGCCCCCAGAGAAGTCCCCAAGAAGCTTCCGCGAGGCCCCCAAGAGACCCTCCGAGGAGAAGCCCTCGCCACACAAAGTAAGTGAAGGAAGGGCGCGCCGGGAGTGGCCATAGCGAGAAAGGGAGTGACAGCAAAGGTGGCAGGGAGAAGCAGTAAAAAGAGGATAGCGATGAGAATGGAACCGGGATCCATAAGTTCATCGCAGTTTTGTTTATATGATAGTCATTATGTTACTATTTGCGTGTATGTACATTCGTATGTGTGAAGATATCGATGTATATACTTGTATACATATATAGACAACTACGGTTATATTATAGTTAAAAAATATTTGTATGTTACATACGAGGTCTCGTTCCGCCTGCATGCGACACCTGAAGGGCCAAGGTGCATGGCGCGGAGCGCAAATGCACGATAGTGTCCACGTGTGTATGTAGAAAAGATGTGCACGTACATAATGCCACGCACATGCATGTGCATCTATATATTTATGTGTATATATATATACCCATCAATCTATCTAGACATATATATATATATATATATATATATATGTATACATATGTATGCGTAATCATGTACATTCTCCTTCATATAATTGTGCTGCTACAGGGCTGCTGCTGCGGACAGCGAAAGGGATTGGAATAGGAATGAGGACACGAGAGGAAACGAATCGAGACGACGGCAGTGGCGGACGGAAAAAGGGTAAAGCGGCAAAGCGCAAAGTGGTCCCCCCGAAGAAGGAGCATCTAGTGAAGGAGCAGCGCGGGAGGAGATGCCGACTTGCCGTGCGTCCCGGCCCACCACCTTGTCTTGCCAGGAGGGGGCTCCCCCGCGCCGCACTTCCCCATCACCTCCAGCCCCTACCTGAGCACACGCCCCGTGTGGGAAGCGACGGGCCGAGGAGGCGAGGCCTCGTTTTGAGCGCCAACCTACGCGGGCGGGCCCCCTCTTCCTCGCTCTGCCCCTCCCTCGCTCACCTCCGGCCCCCCTCCTGCGTACACGTCTCGTCTGGGACGCGTCGAGGCTGAGGAGGCGAGGCCTCCATCGGAGCGCCAGCCTGCGCATGGCGAGCCCATCCTCCTCCCTCGCCCGGGCCTTCTCCTGCTCCCCCCCTCTCCCTGCCACGCCACTGGCCGCTCGCGCCCCTCCCCCATCCGCCCCCCCCTCCTCGAGTCGGCACGAGGCCCTCGTGGGCCACAGGGGGCTTCCCCCGTGACCAGCTTTTCACATCTCGTGGAAGAGGAATCCCGTGGAGGCTTGTCCAAGGGGGGGGGTTGACCAGAGGGGTTGTCTGCATCCCCGCTGGGCTGTCCAAGGGACTGTCCGGGGCAGGTCGTCCTGTCGCCATGAAATCAGCATGGGTTGTCCAGGTTGTCCAGGGGGGTGTCCAGGATTTTGTTGGATTGGATATTCTTTTGGTGGTCTCCAAACCAGGTGGTGAGACACCCGGTGGTGACCCCGATTCCCCCAAAAAATAATTCTGGGTCGCCACCGGCTTTGGGGACACGCGGTCGCCACGAGGTTTTGCGTTTCTTGGGCCAGCCAGCGCTCGAAAACCGTTACCCAAATCGCCCAGAACTCACCACCGGGTGTTCTCACCACCACGTTTGGGGACCACCAATTCCTTAACGAACGCAGTGTCCTTTTGGAACGCTCTGTTGACGCCCTGGGCCCTGGGCAGGGCCCAGGGTGCCCGAGAGCCGTGGACAGGAGTGCCTTGACCCTTCTCTTGCTCGGGGTACGCTGCTTGCTGTGCTCTGCAGCCCGGCCTCTGCTGTGTGGCGGCGCGCTCGCGCCTCGACGCCTCCTCTCGCGTCGTGCTTCCCGCTCCTGCCTTCCCCCCTGCCCCCCAGAAGAGCCATGCTGCCCGCCCCCCATCTTGCCCCCCCCCCCCCCCAAACCCAGACCCCCGACGTCATGATTTTTTTCATGACGTCGACCCCCCGAGGTCTCGACCCATTCCCCGGGACCGGTGTTTCGTCCTGCGTCGTTTTCTGACGGTCCCGAGGGCCGGCAAGGGCCCCCAAAGGCCAAAAATCATGAAAAGCCTCCCGCCGTGTTTTTGCTCACGACGCGAGGGGGTCTGGGAAGACACCGCCCTTCTCTCCAGCACCCCCCCCCCCCGCCCTGGTGCGCGGACTTCCGCGCCGCCCGCGGCCGACGCGCCCGTCGGGCCCGCCCCGCCGCCGCGCGCCGCCGCGAGCCGAGGCGCTGCGCCCGGGCCGCCCCCGCTCTCCACAGGCCCGGCGCCATGGCCCCGCGGCTGGCGTGCCTGGTCGGCCTGGGCGCGCTCGCGGCCCCGGGCCGGGCCGGGTGCCCGCCGCGGGGCCCAGAGACCCCCTCGAGTCAGGAAAAAAAATCGCGGCGGGAGGCGTTTCTTCGTGAGTTTTGGCCCTTGGGGGCCCTGACCGGCCCTCGGGACCGTCAAAAAACGACTCAGGACGACAAACTGGTCCTGGGGAATGGGTCGCGACCGCGGGGGGTCGACGTCATGAAGAAATCATGACGTCGGGGGACTGGGGAGGAGGGAGGAGGGCAGGGCCGAGGGGGCCACGTGCGAGCCCTATGCCTCTCCCTACTCCCCACGATTTTTTTTTTTTTGGGGGGGGGGGGGGGGGGGCACTCTTCGCTCGTGAGCTCCCGAACGAAGTGAATCCCACCCTCCGCTCGTGGCCCCGGGCCTGGCCGGGTGCCCGCCGCGGGAGGAGGGAGGAGGGCAGGGCTGAGGGCCACAGGCGAACCCTACCCCTACAGTCGGGGCCCCGAAGAAGGAACCCTTTTCGTTGGGGAGGGGCTCCGCGTTCCTTACGTGTTTCGCAGCTTGCCTCAGGTCTTTCTTTTTGTTTTCGATCGGAAATCGAAGTTTAACTCATGGGACAAAGGGGGCTCGTTCCTTATTTCGGGTTCCTTAGGTCAACGCCCCGACTGCACCCCCACGATTTTTGGGGGGGAGGGGGGTTCACTTCGCTCGTGTTCCCCCCCAGCGTGGGGGGCAGGGGCAGGGTTCGTGGGCCCCCTAGCAGGGCCGAGGGGCAGCGGAGGGCAGAGCACAGCGGAGGGCGAGCTGGCACCACAACGGTGGCTGGCCGTCGGGGGGGGGGGGGGCCCTTCCTCGCCACGGCGGGGCGCGCCGCTCGGAGGGCCGGTGCGTCTGGGCCCCGAGAGGGGTCCAGGGATCGAGGTTGAGCTGCCGCTGTCTTGGCTCGCCCTGCTCCGGGAGAGGGGCAAGGGGGGCGGGAGAGGTGAGAGGGAGGGGAAGGAAGAGCAGGCGCGGGGGGGGGGGAAGGTGAAAGGGGAGAGGGGGGCGAGGGAGATGGGCGAGCCAGGTGGGTATGCATCTCACACGTCCTCGGGCGCGTGATCGAGGGGATGGGCCGTCGTCCACGGAGACGGCCTGCAGGGGGTTGTCTCGTCAGTGCTGCCCTGTGTCGAGCCGGGGGGTTGCACGATCAAGGGGCACCGAGGCCGCCGGCAGAAGTAGTGCACCCAGAAGCGCCCAGATCTCGCCAGGGCCCAGGAGCGGCCCAAGGGCGGAGGGACGGTGGCAGACGGTAAGACGGGGTGTTTCCAGCAGGAGAGGGGATGGAGGGAGGACGAGGGAGGGCTCATCAGGAGGCCGATCCGCCCATCAGGGCCCGCCCGCCCGACCCGCCCGTGGGTGCCCGTCCGCGCAACCCGAGGGGCTTATTTCTGGAGCTGGCACCACGCTAGCAATGAGCCCCCTAAAGCGGATGTTGTCATTGACGAAGGACGCGGGAATCGAGGGTTTGGGGTGCAAGCATGTATTCAGTGGCACGCGAACGAAGATGAGCGAATTGGATTATAATGGTTGTTGTTGCTGATACCCGTGATGCTCATGACAAGTCTTGCTAGAGCTGCTACCGCTGCTGTCCACCCCCCTCCTGCTCCCCCCCATCCTTCTCGCTCTCAGCCGTCATGCCACCTCCCGTCCTCCTCCCCCTCCCCCTTCTCCTCCACCTCCACTTCCACCTCCTCCTCCTCCACCTCCTCCTCCTCCTCCTCCTCCTCCTCCTCCTCCTCCTCCCGCCCACTCCCGCTCGACCTCCCCCCGGCTCCTCGCTCGCGGCTGCCGTGCTCACGACGCCGCCGACGCCGCTCCCGAAGGTACGACCGAGACATGGGCATGAGCTGCTACGCGCTGCCCATGGGCGCAGGCGCCCCCTCCGCACCGCGCCTGGGCCCTCCCTGCCAGCGGACCGCCCGGCCCCCCCTTTTGGGGGCAAGGGGGGGACGTCGGGCCCGAGGGCGCGCACGGGGGGCAGTTGGCCGATCGACAGACGGCCCCATCCCCCTCCTCGCTCCTCCTCCTCCTCCTCCTCCTCCTCCTCCTCCTCCTCCTCCTCCTCCTCCTCCTCCTCCTCCTCCTCCTCCTCCTCCTCCTCCTCCTCCTCCTCCTCCTCCTCCTCCTCCTTCCTCCTCCTCCTCCTCCTCCTCCCTCCTCCCTTCCTCCCTCCTCCCTACCCCTCCTCCTCCTCCTCCTCCTCCTCCTCCTCCTCCTCCTCCTCCTCCTCCTCCTTCGCTCCTCCTTCCCCTCCTCACCCTCCTCCCCCTCCCCTCCACCCTCCCTCCTCCCTCCTCCCTCCTTCCTCCTCCTCCTCCTCCTCCTCCTCCTCCTCGTCCTCCTCCTCCTCCTCCTCCTCCTCCTCCTCCGCTCAGCCTCGCTCCTCGCTCCTCCTTCCTCCTCCCTCCCCCCTCCTCCTCCTCCTCCTCCCTCCTCCCCAACCTCCCTCCTCCCTCCTCCCTCCTCCTCCTCCTACCCTCCTCCTCCTCCTCCTCCTCCTCCTCCTCCTCCTCCCCTCCTCCTCCTCCTCCTCCTCCTCCTCCTCCTCCTCCTCCTCCTCCTCCTCCTCCTCCTCCTCCCCCTCGGCGCCGGGACACGCTGGGCTCATCTGGGCTCGAGGGCGGGCGCTGGGGCAGGGAGGCGGGCGGCGGACACCGCAGAGGTGCTTCTCGGGAGCTGCGCTTCCGTGGGGCGCGCGGTGCCGGCTCTTCGCTCGCCGGCTGGCCAGGGCGAGGCAGCGAAGTGTTGCGCTCGCCAAGAGGTCCTAGCCGATCTCTGCGGAAGCCTGCGCCCCGGGCTCGGGGCACGGCGCGCGCTGCCTGCCCGCCGGGGCCCAGCAGGCACGAGGCCGCGCGGCGCGCGTGGTTTTAGACCGGGCGGGCCCTGCCCGCAGGAGAGCACACCAAATGAGCCTCGACGTGTGGTGCGTTTTGGACATGGCCTCGCCTTCGAGGAATCGAGAAGTTGGCACCTCTTCCTGGGCAGAAGTCGGGAGCGGAAAAGAGGGGGGTGATGACTGGGGGGGGGGGATATCATGGCGGGGGCCATGATATTTCCCCAGATTTCATGGCGCCCCTTCTTATTTCATTACGTCCCTGGCCCCCCCGCTGGGCCGCGCATATGCCGCCGGTCATGATTTGCACCCCCCCCTCTTGGACACCCCCCTCTTTGCCGCTCCCGAAGAAGGCGGCGGAAGTAAAGCGGAGGCGGGTCCAGCGGCGGAAGCCGGCGGAGCTGAACGTCGGCCTTGCAAGAGATCTCAACGTGTTTGGGCGCGGGCTTTCCGGAACCCGCCATATCGACATCCTCAGTGTCTACAGTGAGTTCCCATCCGCAACGAGTGCCACGTTGGTTTTGGCTCGATGGTGGCAAGCTCAAATGGACACAGGTTTTTGGGTGTGGTGGCCTACGTCGTTACCTTGACTCGTATCGCTCCCTACCAGATACGGTTCGTATCTCTTCGTATACCACCATTGCCTTCGCTGTCGTCCCGATAGCGACAAGAAGCGGGACGCCTCACACCACCCATCAACAAACAATACACAAGTTCTACGTTTTGCCGTGTCTTGCAACCCAAGCATGTGCGCTTCGTCCTGGACATCGCGAAATGCGTGCGGCCGGAGCGGGACGCGGGGTACGTCGCGTGGGAAGGCGCGAGATGGCGCTATCGCCCGATCACCGCGCAGGTTTGTCTCCAAAGTTCGGACCAAGGAAAAGCGGCACCACCACCACGAGACACGATGCCTTCCCGAGCTGGGGATCGGAGATGCCTCGAGCGAGAGGGCCAGGGCAAACCACCAGGACCCCCCCATGGCTCCTCGCGCTGGTGCAGGCGCTGTCGCCCTTCCTTCTTCCTCGAAGTTGCGTCCCCGCTCTGGCACGGCGCGCGTCTCTCGCCGGCTGGGTCGTGGGCCAACGCGGCCGCGCCCGAGCGAGCCAAGCGTCTCGCCTCCCGAGCGCTGTTGGGCTCTTGCCGGGTCGCGGCGATGGCCGCTCGCTCCCGGAGTCGTCGGGCAGTGGGCCGCCCGCAGGCAAGCCGAGTGGAGCGCTCCAGGCAGGGCCTCTCGCTCTCGAAGGCCGGAGGAGTTGACGTCTCTTCCTCCAGGGAAGTTGGCGGAGAGCCGGAGGAAGCCAGCGGAAGTGCAACGTGGGCACGAAACCGTGTAAATAGTATGGGTTTCCGATACCCTCCTCGTTCAGGCGGGGCCTCCCTGGAGGGGTGGGAGGGGCACGAAACCATTTAGATAGTATGGGTTTCCGATACCCTCCTCGCTCAGGCGGGGCCTCCCTGGAGGGGAGGGAGGGGCACGAAACCATGTAAACAGTATGGGTTTCCGATACCCTCCGGCTGCGCAGGTGGAAGTTGGCGGAATGCGGGCGGACGTTGGCGGAAGTACGAGATGCCCCCAAGAGAGGACGACAGCGTTCCGTGGTCCCCAGGCGTTCAGAGCCGGCCAAGCGTCGGTTTCGCTCGCGCGCCGAGCAGGCTTCTTCTTTGGAAGTTCCGCTCGCGCTGGGGCGCGGTGCGCGCCTCCTTTCGCCAAGTTGTGGGAACGGGGCCGCGCGCGAGAGGGCGAAATGCTGCTCTGGCCCTGCAGTGCCGTTTTTGATACATGCTCCGCGTGCGGATCGTGTATGAAAAATGCAGGGATTGAGTGCTAAAACCAACGATGAGTTCATGCATACATGCATTCCTGAATTAATCATGTATTTAAAATCCTATATTTTAAAAATCCAATGTGTTAAAAACTGCCCGGCAGCGCAGGGGAGGTCTCTCTGGCGAGCTGCGTCCCCAGAGGAGCGCGGCTCGTGCTCTCGCTCGCCGGGCCGGCGGCGGCGGGGCCGCGCGCGAGCGGGCGGAGTGCCGCGCTCGTGCCAGAGTTGCCCACAGTGCGGGAGGGGGACCAAAAACACACAGACACAAGGAATGGTCGATGCCCCAGAGAATAGGGGAACCTATGAGGGAAGAGGGGGGGAAGACAAAGACCCAGAAACTATGGGAAAAGAGGGGGAATATTTCTATTTGTGTGTGCTTCTGTGTGTCTCTGTGTCTCTGTGTCTCTGTGTCTCTGTGTCTCTGTGTCTCTGTGTCTCTGTCTGTGTGTCTGTGTGTCTGTGTGTCTGTGTGTCTGTGTGTCTGTGTGTCTGTGTGTCTCTGTCTCTGTGTCTGTGTCTGTGTCTGTGTCTGTGTCTGTGTCTGTGTCTGTGTCTGTGCGTGTGTGTGCCAGGGCCCCTTCAACAGTGCAAACTGCAGCAGCTGCTTGGCATCCCCGCCTGTGCCTCCTCCGCTCTGTGCGGGGGCCTCTGGCCCGCGCCCAGAGAAGTCAGAGCCGCGCGGGGCTGCCGTGCTGCTTGCGGCCCCGTTTGGGCTCGGCGCGCGCTGTCTGCTTCGCCGCGCCATCGGCACTCCTCCTCCTCCTCCTCATCCTCCTCCTCCTCCTCCTCCTCCCCTCCTCCTCCTCCTCCTCCTCCTCCTCCTCCTCCCCTCCCCCCTCGTTCCTCCCCTCCCCTCCTCCTCCCCTCCTCCTCCTCCTCCTCCTCCTCCTCCTCCTCCTCCTCCTCCTCCTCCTCCTCCTCCTTCCTCCCCCCCTCCCCCTCCCCCTCCTCCTCCTCCTCCCCCTCCTCCCTCCTCCTCCCTCCTCCTCCTCCTCCGCCTCCTCCTCACTCCTCCTCCTCCATCCCCTTCCTCCCCCTCCTCCTCCCCTCCCCTCCTCCTCCCCCTCCTCTTCCTCCCCCTCCACCTCCTCCTCCTCCTCCTCCTCCTCATCCTCCTCCTCTCCTCCACCCTCCTCCTCCTCCTCCTCCTCCTCCTCCTCCTCCTCCTCCTCCCCTCCCTCCCCTCCTCCACCTCCTCCCCCTCCTCCTCCACCTCCTCCTCCTCGCTCCTCCTCCCCCGTGGCCGCGTTCGAGCGAGGGCTGTCCGGATCCGCCCCGCGGGAGCAGCCGCTGGCCCCTCGGCTTCGCGACGCGGCGGCATGGGTCCCTGGTGTTGCGGGGGGGCCGGGTACAGTCGAGGCGTCGGCCGAGACTGCCTGGGCGCCCCGACGCTCTCCTGGCGCTCTGCAGGATCTGCAAGACGGCCCAGGGAGGCCACCGAGGCCGTCAAGATGGCCCAACGCTGCATCGAGTTGCAGCCCGACGCCTCCAGGGAGAGCCCCGAGAGGCGCCACCAGGGGCCCCCAAGGGGCCGTGCAGGAAGGCCAGCGTCGCTCCACAACCTTCAGGGACCCGAGGTTTTGAACGTACAGTCGAGGCGTTGACCTAAGGAACGAGGCCCCTTTTCCCAGAAGTTCAACCTCGATTTCCCATGGAGAAACCTCAGGAACACCCGGGGCAAACTCTGAAACAGTCAAGGAACACCGAGCCCCTCCCCAACGAGAAGGGTTCCTTCTTCAGCGCCCCGACTGTATGAGATGGCATGAGATGGTGGGCTTATGTCGGGCGTGCCCCCCTACAGGGGGATTTTCGACGAAAAATAGAAGATACCCCAAAAGTACCCCAAAAGGGTCAAAACATAGAGGGCGGGGGCCCCCTCCTGCTCCTCCGGCCCCCTGCTGCCCGCCTCTCTCCGTAGCGCCCTTCTCGGCGGAGCGCCGATCGGGGGGGCGGTAGAGGGGGGGGGGGGCGGGCCTTCTCGGAAGGCTCAGAGGGCCTCCGGCCTTCTCCGAAGCTCTCGAGGCCTTCTCCGGAGCCCCTCCGCCTGCTGAGAAGGCCCGCCCCCTCTGCCTTCCCCCCTCGGCGCGCCGCCGACCTTCGTCTGGAACCAGAGGTTTCAGGATCCGCGAGCGCAGCTCGAGAGCCAGGCGAGGAGCTTACGAGGAGGCCCCCGTCTGTTTCTGGGGAAGCTACGGGACCAGCACGGCGGCAGTGCTTCGGTCGACGCAGTTTGCGGTTTTGCCTCGGCATCCCGCGAGTGCGCGCGAGTCATTCGGCGTTGGCCCCGACACTCCTCACCAGCCGTCGCACTGGTCTATCAGAAAGACCGGTGGGAGAGAGGGTCAGGATTGGCCTCTTCAATCGTTCGACGGCTCATCCTGACTCCCATGAACGCCAGCCCCCGTGGCAGAAACATTCATAGAATGTGCATGATCCCTTCGCCAACGTGCTTGATGTTTTAGGCGATATGGCTTAGGGTCAGCGTTGCTTCCTCTTCCTCCCCAGCTTCAGCCACAGCATCTTCTTCCCCCTCAAGTTGCATCCGTTGAGACTCCATCGAAGAAGAGAAAGCTGCATGAACGCAAACTGCTGGAGCTCCGACGAATTTCGGGAGATCGGCACTGGACCCTCTGCCTGGCGCGCGGAGCGCGCCAGGGGCGGCGCCGGAGTCGCCGTCAGGGGGGCCCAGCGCCGATCCGAGAAATCCGCGCAGGGATCCCAAAGGCTCATGTCTGTGCTGTCAAGGGAGGAAAACCACCCGGACCGGACACTGCGCGTTGACTAAACGGCCTTTGGCGTTTACTGAACAGCCCTGCCCTGTTCGATTGCTTCTTTGGGCGCGCTTGCTAAAGGCCTCGCGTGTCGGGGCGGTTCTTGTCGGGGTGGATTTTGTACCCTCTACCGCTGTATCTTCTCCCGCTCCTCCTCCTCCTCCGCCCTCCTCCTCCTGCTCCTCCCCTTCGTCCTCCACCTCCTCCTCCTCCTCCTCCTCCTCCTCCTCCTCCTCCCACCCCCTCCTCCTCCTCCTCCTCCTCCTCCTCCCCTCCTCCTCCTCCTCCTCCTCCTCCCCTCCTTCCTCCCCCCCTCCTCCCCCCCCCTCCTCCCCTCCTCCTCCTCCTCCCTCTCCTCCCCCTCCTTCCTCCTCCTCCTCCTCTCCTCCTCCTCCTCCTCCCTCCTCCTCCTCCTCCTCCCCCTCCTCCCCCTCCTCCTCTGCTCGCTGCTCCCCGCCGTCCGGCGCCCCGCCGCTCGCCCCCCGGCCTCTCTGCAGGCCAGACCTCGTGCGACCCGGAGTACTCCGTCTGCGTGCCCTCGTGCCTCGGCGGCTCGTGGCGCCGCCGCCCGCCCGCGCGGGGCCCTCGGCGGGAGGTGCACAGCGGGAATCTCCCAGGAGGCCCCCAAGAAGCCCCCAGAAGGCCCCAAGAAGCATTCCCCTCCTTATCCTCATTGTTTCCCTCTCCTCCTCGTCGTCCTCCCCCCATACCGCGCGGACGAAGACGAGGTCGGGATCACGACACGCCCCAATGCAGGCTACTCGTCGGAATTGCGCTGTTCCTACACTCAGATTCCTGCACCCCAGGCGATGCCTAAGAAAACTTGAGTTTTCGGCCAGGGTCTCGATTTGTCCTGATGCTGCAATGTGCATCCTAAGATGTCAATCGAAAGTCTGGGCCTTTTTATTCAAATTCTGATACTCTGAATTTCTTAACCCATGATTTCTTAAGCATTTCGCAGGGCGTAAGCATTTCGCAGGGAAAAAAAACACACACAGACACAATTAGTCGTCGATTCCCAGGAGGATACGGGAACATATGGGAAATGGGGGGGGAAGACCAAAGACCCGAAAACATGGGGAAAGATGGGGCATCCTGTCAGTTGTGTGCGTTTGTTTTTGTGTGTGTGTTATGTGTGTGTGATTTGTGTGTGTTGTGTGTTGTGTGTGTTGTGTGTGAGTTGTGTGTGTGTGTGTGTTGTGTGTGTGTGTTGTGTGTGTTGTGTGTTGTGTGTGTTGTGTGTGTGTGTTGTGTGTTGTGTGATGTGCGTTGTGTGTTGTGTGTTGTGTGTGTTGTGTGTGTGTTGTGTGATGTGTGTTGTGTGTTGTGTGTGTTGTGTGTGTGTGTGTGTTGTGTGTGTTGTGTGTGTGTGTTGTGTGTGTGTGTCTGTGTGTGTGTTGTGTGTGTGTGTGTGTGTCCTGGGGCCCCTGCGGAGGGAGGTGCACAGGCCTCCTGCCCTGACGCGTCGAGCAGCGAACTGGTCGCTGTCGGTTCGCGAGAGGGCGCCGCGGCCGTCGTTTTTGCGCGTCCGGGTCTGTCGGTTTCGGTCCCAGGCCGTTTTCACTGAGGGGAGGTTTGCTAAGGTCGGGGGCGGGAAAGAGGGGGTGATCACTAGGGGGGGGATATCATGGCGTGGGCCATGATATTTTCCCAGATTTCATGGCGCCTCTTCTTATTTCATTACGTCCCTGGCCCCTCCGCTGGGCCGCGCACATGCCGCCGGTCATGATTTGCACCCCCCCCTCTTGGACACCCCCCTCTTGGCCTCTCCCGATAAAGGGGAGGCTTGTCCACCGCCAAGAGGGGAGGGTGCCAGCAAGTCCTGTGGAGAGCGGGCACCGTCTGCGATCTCCCGAGGTCCGCCCAGACCTCCAACGCTCTGAAAAAAGAGAGGCCCAAATGGAGGATGTTCGTCGCTGCTGGCATTTGGGGAGCCCCCGCGGGGCCCCGTGACCCTCCAAGAGCGAGCCAGGAAGAGAGAGCCGATCCCTGGGAAGCGGTCCCGAGCTCTGGGGCCTCGCATTGAAATCGTCAAGACGTCGGACGTCTCGGCGGGCGCTGCAGGTTTTCCGCGCCCTGCGTTTTCGCCGGGTTTCGGGCCCCGGGGGCCATCACAGATCGATACGGCGCGAGAGATGCCGCGGAAAGATAGGGTCGATGGCTCTGGTCCTTAGCTGCCCCGAGACGCTGCGTGTTGGCTCAGCGTATTGGCCATTTTGGCACGACGAGTCGGTAGATCGGTGATTCAGAAGGTGTTGGTCACATTTTCGTCGTGGCCCCCTCAGGGCCTCCTGGGTCAGTTGGGCCGACAAGGCGTCGGCAAGAGGCAAACCGTGTGGGTACGCAGGGGAAAGCAGCGACGGGGCGAAGGGAGAGATGGAGATAATGCAAACATAAAGACAAAGGGGCGAAGAGAAAAGGAGGAGGAGGAGGAGGAGGAGATAAAGGGAACCAGGACAACGGATGGAGTCAGAGAGCAGTGGAGAGAGCAAGGGTGGAAGGGAGCATGAGGTTCAACGGGATTGCTTTGATCATGTTCAACCTAACTTTTCAAAAACGCCACCACAGGAGCGACGCAGGCTCGTCGAAAGGAGGGAAGGAGACAGATGGAGGCAGTGAGGGAGGTGAGGCACGAAGGAGGGGAGGGAGGAGGCGAGGGGGGACGGAAGGAGGGGAGGAGGACAAAGGAAAGATTTCGAGGTGGCCCGCAGGGGTGCGCTGACAACGAGGTGCTCTCTGGAGGGGCCCTACCCCGGCGATGCCCTCTTCATCTTCACCGCCGTCGTCGTCCTCGTCTTCGTCCTCCCCGCCGCCGTCGGCGCCGTCGCCGACATCGCCGCCTCCGTCGGCCCCCTCATCTCCCGGCGATGTCGAGGGCAGGACGCGCGCACCTCCCTCGCCTCCCTTCCCGCCGCCCGGCTGGAGGAGCAGGCGGCTTGGAGCGCTCGCCTTCGCTGGCTCGCTATCTCGCCTTTGGCCCATCCCTCTTTGCTCCGCCAGAGACACAGAGGAATGGAAGGCTGTCATTGCTGAGCACGGCCCCTTGCTTACAGTGAGCGGCTTGTATAAGGAACACTTACTTTTCAAAAGGGGCTCGGTCGTTCCTTAGATTTTATATGCGTTATTTACAGTTCCTTATGCGTTATTTGTTATTTATCGTTCCTTATGCGTTCTTCCTTGGAATAAAAAGGGGCTTCGTTCCTTATTTATCGTTCCTTAGGTCAGGCCGATGACTGTATGCCACCCTCCGACGACGACCCCATCCGCCCTCCCGAGTGGACCCGCACCTCCGCCCCGCTCGGGCACCGCCCGCCCCGTGGCCAGGTGCAAGATGCCGGTGCCCCACGCCGGCACCTGCAGGCGCGCCCGGGCCCCCTTCGGTGATTCCTCTGTCGGGCGAGGGAAAAACCACCCGACACCGATAATTGGCGTTTGCTACATCACTCGTCAGAAATAATCAGAAGTCTTCTGTTTTCGGTACTTGTATGGTCAGCGCTACTCCAATGCTGACACCAGATAAGTGACTTGGACGCGAGGGTGTCAAAAATCCGGCACACCCCTCGCAGCATTGAAGAACGCAGTTTCTAACAACCGCTCGAAAATATCGATCGCCGTGATTTCCCATTGCATGTCTGGATATGTTTGACGAGGCTTGTAGAAGGTCCTGGGCGGTACTTAGACAGCCCTGCCCCGTTCGGTTCCTCCCCTGGGTGCGTTGGCTAAGCGGCTTCGCTGGTCGGGGTGCTTAGTATGAGGGTGGGTATTCTGCTCTCTATACTCTGGGCTTCTTCCGGGAGCTCGGGGTCTCGTCGCGGCGCCTGTCAGGCAGCGTCCAGGGAGCTGCCAATGGATGTCGCCACACCGCCTCCCAGCAGGCGGAGGTCGAGGAGGAGGGAGGATCGAGTATCGAGCAGGTGTTGGGCGCCTGGGCCGTCTTTGGGAGTCCTGGGGTGTCCAGGGTGGTCCAGGAAGGCGCGTTTTCTGGAGGAGGTGACCCTCGTAGTGGTGCCCCCCTTTGGCATTGCCTGGATCATCTGAAGGTGTTTGGTTTGCCCCCAGTCTGCAGGGCTTCTTTCGCGGCCTTGGAGCTCAAATTGCCGCACCCGTCCCGCGCATGTCTGAACATTCTGGGTCTCCGGCCGCTCGCTCGTGCTTCGCCGATCTGCACCTCTGGTGTGTGCCCGTGCGGCCTCGAGGGCTCGGCCGCTCTAGAAGCGCACGCGCGGCTACTGTTCTTCGACTGTCTCCGCACTGTCGCTGCGCGCGGGGCCGCGACGCCAAAAAAAGTGTGTGTGTGTGTGTGTGTTTGTGTGTGTGTGTGTCTGTGTGTGTGTGTGCGTGTGTGTGTGCGCGTGTGTGCGTACGTGTGCGCGTGTGTGTGTGTTTATGTGTGTATGTGTGCGTGTGTGTGTGTGTGTGTGTGTGTGCGTACGTGTGCGCGTGTGCGCGTGTGCGTGTGTGTGGGTGCGTGTGTGTGTGTGTTTATGTGTGTGCTTGTGCGTGTGTGTGCGTGTGTGTGCGTGTGTGCGCGTGTGCGCGTGCATATGCGTGTGCGTGTACGTGTGTGTGCGCGTGTGTGCGCGCGTGTGTGTGTGTGTGCGTGTGTGTGTGTGTGTGCGTGTGTGTGTGTGTGTGTGTGAGTGTACTTGTGTGTGTGTGTGCGTGTGCGCGTGAGCGCATGCGTGTGCGCGTGCGCGCGTGCGTGTAAGTGTGCGTGTGCGTGTGTGTGTCCGTGTACGTGTGCGTGTGCGTGTGCGTGTGCGTGTGAGTGTGCGTGTGCGTGTGCGTGTGCATGTGCTTGCTTGCGTGTATGCGTGTGTGTGTGTGGGTGTGTGCGTGTGTGTATGTATGTGTGCGTGCGTGCGTGCGTGCGTTCGTGCGTGTGTGTGTGTGTGTGCGTATGTGTGTTTGTTTGTGTTTGTGTGTGTGTTTGTGTCTTTGTGTGTGTGTTTGTGTGTGGTGGGTGTGCGTGGGTGCGTTCGTGCATGTGTGTGTATGTGTATGCATTTGTGCGTGCGTCTATGCGTGCGTGCGTGCGCGTGTGTGTGTGTGTGTGTGTGTGTGCTCGTGTATGTGTGTATGTGTGGTGTGAGTGGTGTGTGGTGTGTGTGTGTGTGCGTGTGTGCGTGTGTGTGGTTGTGTCTGTGTCTGTGTCTGTGTGTATGTGTGTTTGTGGGTGTGTGTGTGTGTGCGGATGTCCGTGCGTGCGTGTGGGCGTGTGGGCGTGTGTGCGTGCGTGCGTGTGCGTGCGTGTGCGTGTTCGTATTCGTGTGTGTTTGTGTGTGTGCGCGCGCGATTGTGTGTGTGCGTGCGAGTGCACCAGTTCGGTGCCTCCCCCCCACGCACCACCAGCGAACTCCCCTCTTTGGCTCGCCGTGGCAGCTGCCCCACGCTACCTGCGCGCCCACCGCCCGGCTCCCTGCTTCCTCGGCGCCTTGCGCCCGCTGGACTGGCCTGCGTGAGTCCGCCCTCCTCCTGTCCGTCTGCGCTGGCGGCCCCGGCGCTGGGCTCCTGGCCCGGGTCGGCGCCCGTGGTCTGACGGCTGGGCTTCCGCCTCCTTCTCCTCCTCCTTCTCCTCCTCCTCCTCCTCCTCCTCCTCCTCCTCCTCCTCCTCCTCCTCCTCCTCCTCCTCCTCCCCCTCCTCCCCCCCTTCCTCCTCCGAGGTTGAGGGAATCCAAGGCAGCTGGGGACGTCTCTGGGCTCCTCTGGGAGTCCCTGGGGGGCTTTCTGGGAGCTTCCGCCTGCACCAGCCGGCGGCGCCACCGCCGACCTCTGGCTTGCTGGCACTGCGCAGCGTCTGGCCTCGCCAGAGGCCGCCTTCTCTTTTCCTGCCTGTGCGCCTTTGGGTGTCTCTTGCTGCGCCCTCGCCCGCGGCCGGCCCGCCTCTCGGCTTTGGCCGCCCCCCAGGGGTGGGGCCTTGGGCTGGTCTTGCCGCCCACGACCCCCCCCATTTGCCGCTTTGGCTGGCATGGCAGTTGACTGGCCTTCTCACCACCCACCACCAAACCACCCCAACCCAACCCTAAGGCCTCAATTTGGCCTCCATTTCCAGTGGGGGGGGGGTCGGGGAACATTGAAAAAACACGGGTGGAACCCTTACCCCCCCCAACCCGAACTTCGGGTCTTCGGGTTGGGTTGGGGTGGTCTGGTAGGTAGTCACCTTCCTCTCGCGAGGCGGTGCTGCTCCTCGCGCCGCCTCGGCCGCTGTTTCGGCAGCACTCGGGCCCCGGGGCGCCTTCCCCCCAGTCCCCGGGGCCCGCCTACTCGCCACCGCCCGCGTCCTGCAGGTGCCGGCCCGCGGCCCGGGCTCTGCCACCTGGCCTTGGCGTCTCTCTGCGCGTCCGGCGCTGCTGCGTCCTCCCCTTCCCAGCCTTGGGGGCACTCCGCCCCCTCCGCCCCCTCTTCTCCAGCCCGCTCCGGGCCCTGGGTCCGCCATCCGCGCACCAGTTCGGTGTCCCTCGCCGCGGCCCTCGCTGAGCGACGGGACCGCTTTTCGGCTCCCTGGCCGCGCCCCCGCCCCCGCTCTGGGGCCTGGGCTGGTTCTGCCGGCCGCGCCCCGCCCCCCCCCCCGCCTCCGCCTTGCCTGGTTTTCAGGCCGACCCCTCACCTTGAGGTGGTCTCGTACTGGTCGCCGCTGGCCCGGCTGCTCGCGTTGGTCACGCGTGACCTCGGCACCCGCTGACCCTCGGCGCTGCGTGCACACATTCGCCACCGGCCTCTGCTGGGTGCTGCCCCCTGCACGGCCTGCTGACTGGCAGCTCGCCCTCCCGGCTTCCCCCCCCCAGCCGCCGCCCCGTATGCTGGTCCGCCCCGCGGCGTCGCCCTTGCCGCGCGCCTGGCCCTGCTCTGAGCGGGCACGGCATCTGTCTCCCTCCTGCCACCACCGGGCGCCTCCTCCTTCCTCCTCGCGCATCGTGGCTTAATTCGCATTACGTATGACCTACCAACGCCCTATCCGCCAGCGCAGTCCCTCTGCCTAGCCGCCGACGATATATACGATATATGCATATGTGTGTATATATATATATATGTATATGTGTATATAAACGTATGCAAACAAACAGACATACATACATACATACACACAAACGTACATACACTCATACACATATCTACATACACCCATACATACATACATACATACATACATACATACATACATACATACATACACACATACGTACATACATACAAACATACATACGTACGTGCGTACATGCATACATACATGCGTGTGCGTGCATGCATGTATGTATGTATGTGTGTATGTATGTATGTCTGTATGTATGTATGTAAGTATGTATGTATGTATGTATGTATGTATGTATGTATGCATGTGTGTATGTATGTATGTATGTATGTATGTATGCATGCATGTATGTATGTATGTATGTGTATGTGTATGTGTATGTGTATGTGCATGTGCATGCGTATGTGTATGCGTATGTGTATGTCTGGATGTGTGGATGCATGTGTGTATGTATGTGTGTCTGCATGTATGTAATTAATGTAATGTAATGTATTGGTACTGTAATGTAATGCATTGTAATGTAACGTAAAGCAATGCAATGTCATGTTTGTTTGTATGCGTGTGTATGTATGTATGTACGTATGTATGTATGTATATGTATGTATGTATGTATGCATGTACGCACGTACGTATGTATGTATGTATGTATGTATGTAGGTAGGTAGGTATGTATGTATGTATGTGTGTGCGTATGTGTGCGTGTGCGTGTGCGTGTGCGCGTGCGTGTGCGTGTGCGCGTGTGTGTTTGTGTGTGTGCGTGTGCGTGTGCGTGTGCGCGTGAGCGTTTGTGCGTTTTTTGCGTTTGTGCGTTTGTGCGTTTGTGCGTTTTTTCGTTTGTGTGTTTGTGCGTTCGTGCGCTTGTGTGTTCGTGTGTTGTGTTTGTGTGTGTTTGTGTGTTTGTGCGTTTGTGCGTTTGTGCGTTTGTGTGTGTGCGTGTGTGCGTGTGTGTGTGTGTGTGCGTGTGTGCGTGTGCGCGTGCGGACGAGCCTGGGGCCCGTGCCAGAACCTCTGCACCGTGCTCTACGCGCACTGCTGTGGCATTCCTGCTTGGCGACCTCTCCCCGTGCTCGGCGTGTATGTTGGCTTCCCGTGTCGCCCCCTCGCTCGGCCCAGCTTCCACGAGCTCCCCGCGCGCTCGAGCGCCTGCCGGCCCCCTTCTTGCCTCCCCTTCCTCCGCCCCGTCGCTCCCTCTCTCGTCCCGGTCTCTCGCCTCCCCCCCCCCCTCGTTAGATTGTACGCGGCGAGGTCCCTCGGGGTGAGCCCTGCGCGATCCCTCGGGGCCACCGGAGGGCAGTACCCGGCCGCGGCCGCCGCGCGACCCTCTCGCCGATTCCGCTGGCCTGCTCCCGCCGCGCTCTGTAGCACACTTCGCCACAGCGGTGCCTCCGTGCAGTGAGCTCTTCCGCCAGCGCAGTTGCTCTGCTTGGCCGCCGGCGCCAAAAAAGTTTCCGCCGCGCTGCTGCGCGCGTGGCCGCGACGCCCCCCTTCCCCCCCCAAAGAAAAATAAGAGTAAGAAGAAGAAGAAGAAGAGTGGCCTTCAGCCCATCCCGCCACCGCGCCTGGGTTGTAGTGCAGAGGCCTCTTTGATGCCTGTCGGGATCCCTTGGGAGGCCTTTTGGAGGCAGTTTTGGGGTGTCTTGGGGCCTCTCGGTGGCCTGATTTGGGCCTCTTAGGTGTGGGGGGTGAGGGGCCTCCTGGGGTGCCTTGGGGCTTTGGGGGACGTGCTGGTGGTCTCGGGGGTTCTTGGGACGGAGGGCTCGACATGTCAGTTCGAGTTCGCCCTCTTGGGGCCGTCTTGGTGCCCTCGTGGGCTGTCTTGGGGCGATCGCGGGGGGGCCCACTGGGCCGTCTTGAAGCATCGGGCGCCTGAGAAGGCGAGAACGATGAAATTGTTCAAGAACCATGGGAAAGTAAATGATTTGGGCATCGTGGGGCCCTCTTGGGGATGTTCTTGGGCCTTTCTTGGGGCGTCTTGGGGGCCGCTTGGTCCCGGCGTCTTGGAGTGATTCTTGGGCGACGCGGAGCACCTCTTGGACCGTCTGGAGGACCCCCTCGGCCCGTTTTGAAGCCTGAATGCTTCCAGAAAGCGCACGCGACAACGCGGGCCAAGCATTGGAAGTGTATGGAAGTGTCCTTGTCCTTGCATGAGGAGCTGTGGGTCCTTGCATGAGTAGTACAATATCCAATACAGCGGACCCGCAGGAACCCGAGGACACTCGATTTCACGCTTTCTGTATGTGCGTGAAACAGGTACACATTGTTCATGTCTAATTATTCGAGAGGTCTTTGTTTTTTTGGGGGGCAAGATCATTTCATTCCTAATTCTTCTATCCTGGGCCTCTTCCTGGCCACTAGGGGGCCAGGAACAATTAGAAACGAGCACAATTGGAAATGAGCACGATTAGAAATGAACGACGTGTACTACAACATTCAATACAGCGGACCCGCAGGAACCTGAGGACACTCGATGTCACGTTCACTGCACGTGCGTAACACAGATCACGCTTGTCTCGCCGAGCGCGTTCCACTGCTCGCAAAATGCCCACTCGCAAAAGTCTGAAAAAAAACAACATGTCTGCGCTGATGTCATTCATCGTAGATTCTCCGCGGGGGTTCCGGGCCATTTGCGAGCGGTTACTCTGCGAGCAGTGGAAGGCGCTCGTCGATTGTCCCAAGTTTTCCCTCGATGGGCGCCAGTGGCCGCCCAGGTGGGTTGGTTGGGCTTCCGGGCTCTCGCTCGGAGCACGCCCGTGGCCGCCTCGCGGGCGCCGCCTGCGCCGGCTATCGCTCACGAGCGTGCTCAAAGACTCTCAGGAGGTGAAAAGACACGCCTCCTCCTCCTCCTCCTCCTCCTCCTCCTCCTCCTCCTCCTCCTCCGTCGAGCTTCGTGCGCTCCTCCTCCTCCTCCTCCTCCTCCTCCTCCTCCTCCTCCTCCTCCTCCCTGCCTCCTCCTCCCCCAACTTCCCCTCCTCCTCCCCCTCCCCCGGGCCCGAGCCGTCGAGCCCGCGGCCCGCCGGCCCGTCTTCTCGGCCGCGCCGGCCCTCGCTCCGCCCTCGCCCCCTCCCCCCCCCCCCACGTGGCCGAGGCCCGGCGGCCAGCCGCAGCACTCGGCGCCTGGGAGCCCCCTTATTTAGGAGGCAGCCCCCCCCCCTTCAGGAGGAAAAAAAAACACGCAGACGCGATCGATCGCCGCTTCCCCAGAGGGTATGGGGAGAGATGTGGGAAGTGGGGGGGGGAGACGAAGAAACCCAGAAGGTCTAGGGAAAAATATGGGGGGAGTCCGGTTTCTCTGCACCCGTCTTTCTGTGTGCGTCCCAGGGCCCCTTCGGGTCCCTTCTCCGAGGACAGCTTCGATCTCACCCCCCCGTGGCCGAGGCCAGCCGCCGCGGTCCCCCCATCGGGGTCTTGGCCTCGCGTCTCTCTACACTGCACCATCGCCCCAGCCCGATCCATTCACAGGACAATATGAAGGGGCCCCAGGACACACAAATAAATACACACAAATAAAAAGATCCCCCCAGATTTTCCCATACTTCCTGGGCTTTTGTCTTCCCCCCCTCCCCACTTCCCATAATTTTGCATGCTTTCTGAGGAATCGAGGATTAATTGTGTCTGTGTGTCCCCTCCTGACAATAATCCATAGCGTACCATCTGCAGATCATGAACCTGGGTTTGCATTCCTAGATAATAAAGCCACGGTCGACGAGGATTGCAGACCTACCCTCCAATCGCCCCTCCCAGATCCGAAGTCGCACCGTTCCAGCCAAACCGTGATCGATTCCCCCCGCCGGCACACGCGGCGCGCACGCGTTCACATACAAACAGCGTGTTGCCAGAAGTTGTATGTAGGAATGAAGGGGTATCATGTGAGATCATGCGGGCCCCACGCGCGCGCGCCCCCACGTCGAAATCGTGACATCACCATGTGTGAAGGGTCTCAAGGTATTGATGTGCAAACCATGTACGGCAGCCTTGTTGTCAGCATGCTTTCTGCGCGCGCGAACTTGTTGGCACCATACGAGACAAAATGTCTGGCCATCACTGTCGAAGACTATAATGCGGCCACACGCGTGCGCCCACTCGCGCGCAAGTCGAAACCACCAGAACATAAGCGTTAGCAGACGTTGGCAGACAGCTGTTCAGGCACGTGCCCCGCCCGAGTCGTGGATCTGCCCGTGCGTCACTGCACCTGCTGGGATTTGCCCACAGAGTTGATGGCTCCCTGCACTCGCGGCCGATTTTGAGGATTGCCAGCAAGTCGCGGGCGGGTGCGTGTGATTGATTGCGCGAGTTTTCAGGCTGACTACTGCAAGTCCTTCAGCTGCACCCACACATTGCACGTCCAGGGTGAAACGACTCCCTGTTGGTGCCTCGCGCTGGCGAGCATGTGGTCCGTCCAGCTGGCGGAGCGGTTCCCTTGAGAGCAGATCCCTTTGTCATTGGGATCGCCCGAGCCGTCAGCAAGAGCAGAGGAGGGAGTCTGTGCGGTGCTCGCGGGACACCTGCTTCATGCTGGCACCCTCGAAGCCACGAGCGCGGCCTTGCGGCGGTCGTGGCCACCCCCCCGCGCCCAAGGTGCAAGTGCAGCCACCAGGTGGAGCCCGGCCAGACCGGAGAGCAGCCCAAAAGTTGCGTCCCGATCGAGGCCAGCGGCCGTTGTTGCCCGCCCCGCGCTCGGTTGTCCTTGTCGCGCCTTTGCGGAGACTTACAGGGAATACTTCGCACTTTCGTCTCCCGCCCTAGGCAGAGGGTCTCTCCTGAAGCAAGAAGCTGGTCCGCCCTCCTCCCCCTGTTCCCTTCACAGTCGTCGTCGCGCTCATCCTCCAGGCCCTCCTCCTCTTCGCGAAAATCGTTTCGATGACTCATCATCCTGATCACCAGTGCCATGACCGTCGTCATCCTCATCATACTCATCATCAGCACACCATCATCATCATGATCACCTCGTCCTTATATTTGCCGTGGTCATTTCGGAAAAATCCGTGGCTCTGTTTTTTGCGTACCCCTTGGAGCATGTGTGTTCCACAATTGCGGTATCTTCGATTTCACCCACGTTTCATGAAAGGAACTGAATACGCCACAAACAACGTGCTCGGCGAAACTCGGCGGCCAGCTGAAGAAACACGATGCTCGATGTGTACCTCCTGTTCTTTGTCGACCACTGTGCCAGCGTTGCGTGCTCTATGGCACAACCTTCTCGAAAGTCGAAGGCGTATGCAGATGGCGAGTTATGTGTTCGTGCTGATGCGCTATTCGAATCAGTTGCCGCCCTTGATATTCCCCTTGAAAGGATCGCGGCATAAGTACCTCATGCGCTTGCTCTTTAACTGTCTGTTGCACACGCTGGGGGAGTGTCAATACTCGACGTCACCAATCTACGCGAACTGGATACTCTATGTCGTCGTGGACACTCTGGTCGGCACAGGCGTTGTGAATCGGCTGGGTGCTCTCGGCTTCTCCACATACTCCTGCCTGCTGGGGTTGCGTCGTCCTCGTCCTTGTGTGGATCATCACCCTGGTATTTATTCGGATCGTTTTTTCTATCCCCAGACCCCCGACGTCATGATTTTTTCATGGCGTCGACCCCCCGAGGTCTCGACCCATTCCCCGGGACCGGTTTTTCGTCCTGAGTCGTTTTTTCACGGTCCCGAGGGCCAGTAAGGGCCCCCAAAGGCCGAAAATAATGAAAAACCTCCCGTCGTGATTTTTTCATAACTCGAGGGGTCTGGGTCCGCACCTACTTCCTCGAATCACCCGCAGCAAGTGCTGTTGTGGTCGCGTGGGCCCAGGTCGCCGCGCTGCTCAAGATGGGCCGCCGGCCCCGCTCCACGGATATCCCCGTGCCGGCTTCTTGGGGTGCCGCCGCCCCGCCGCCTCGGCCATTGGAGCTGCCGGCCCTCCCTGCGCCGGCGCTAACTTCCGCGCGGATGCTTCCACGAGGGCACTCGGTATCGCTCGGACGTGTGCACTTCTTCTCGGCGGGGATTCTGGAGGAGCATCCTGGATCATCCTGCGGAGAAAAAACACGCACGAGACCGGACAGAAGCACAGGGAAGGGACGTCCGAGCGACGGGGAGGACATGATCCTGGAGGTCGCGGGCACGTCGCAGGCTCAGGTGCTGTTCGCCGGCTCCTGCTCAGGCACGACGCTCGGATCAAGCGGGCGGCAGCAGCAGCTCGCACGTCTGCACGGGCAGAGGACGGCCATGCCGATGCGGCTTCTAAACGGCATGCGCTGTGCCTCTGTCAGCGCACGACGACATGATCCCAGTACTCACGAAGTGCATTTGCCCTGCAGCACCAATCGTGTTCTTATCCACGCTTTTACACTGAGAAGCCGCGGCGCTCTGAAACAGCAAGAGGCCGCAGTTTCGAGCAGGCACCGGTGCGAAATCGCCAGGACCAGGTTGAATGCACTGGCAGCAACGGCAAATTTGGCATACAGCTCGACAAACAAATAATGCATTTTCGGAGGCCTGCGCAGACTTCTTGGATTGGCGCTGGAGCCCACTGGCGACGCCTCCAGCGCCGCCCCTCAGGCGCTCCGCGCGCCAGGGAGTGGGGTCCAGCGCCGATCCAACAAATCAGCGCGAACCTCCGACAGTCTATAGTTGTGCAGCTGCTCGTGCCTCGAGCAACCTCCGCGTCGTCCACGTCGCTCACAGGCGGTTGATCTGCTCATTGTGGGAGATACCGAGCATACAGCGGCCATACAGCTGCCACGATCCGGGCCCCCTCCAAGGCCCGAGCACGCGTCGCGCGCCGCTCGCCCCCGCCGCGTCGAGCACTTCTGGCGAACATGGCCGCTGGGGGCTGCTGTCTGTGTCCAGTGTCGTCGGCCCCATCCCCACTGGGCCATGGCCTCTCAGCCCCACCAGCCCACCCCCAGTGGGGGAGAGGCCCCTCGAAACCCGAAGGGAACAGCCTATATCCTCAGCCAGGTGGGTAAGTCGGCCAGTGGGGCCCGGGCCACGCCTGTGGGGAGAACGATTGGCGAAGCGATGCCCAGTTGTCCCCGCGCATTCCGTGCGGGGCGTTCCAGACAGGGCTCCGCCCTCGAGGACCGCGGGAGTTGGCGTCTCCTCCTCGGCGAAGGGCCACAGCGCATGGCGGTGGAAGTCAAACGGGGGCCGCCTCTGCCGGCGGAGACCGGCGGAGGTGCCATTCGTTTTGGATGCCGGGCGTGGTCTTACAAGCCCGGCTGTTCGATGTTTTTTGTTTTTTTTCTGCATTGTTTCCGCTTCTGCTTCCAGATGCGTGGCCGCGCAGCTGCCTGGCTGCGCCTGGCCCCCGCAGGCACCGCCCCACGAGGGCCAGCCACGTGTGTTGAGGCACGCATGCAGGGGGAGGATCGCGAGCTCGAAGCGCGCTGCTCTCACGTGTTGCTTCGAGCTCCTGCCAGCGGAGATGGCCGCGTGGTGGCGTCGCTGCCCAAAGCCCAAAGAACCAGCTCGCCCATGACGAGTTCAGTCCGCACCTATGTGCTATAATCGTGCCATTGATTCGAAGAGCCACGTTTGGTCCGCACGGGCTGGATGTTGGTGTGAGTTTGGGCACCGTTGGCGTCACCATGATTGCCTAGATGGATGGTGTGATTGCAGATGCCGTCGGTATCTCATGCACTTGTGTATGGCGCCAGCGAGTTCCAGGCACGCGGGCCTCATAGCGGTGGTGATCTGCTTGTCGTCCAGTGGTTTCTGCTCGAAGTCTTCGTTGTACCAGTCCGTCGATGTCGTCTGGCGTGAGCGGGAAGCGGCTTGCGCCGTATAGCTGATGGCAGTTCGACTATCGATCGAGCAGGTGTTGGAGGAAGCGCGACAGTGTGTGTGTATGTGTGTGTGATGTTGCCGCCTGCAAGTTTCACGCTGTGAGACTCGCACGTATGCTGATGCGCCTTTCGCCCGTTTGTATGCCATCGTCTCGTGTCGTCGCTGGCCGATGGTCGGATTGGGGGCAGCGCTGATGTCGCAGCATATGCACGTGGCGCCCGCGCTTTGCGGTGGTGTCCCGCTGCTTTCGGTGATCCCACAGGTGAGCAGCGAGACTTTGTGCAATAGCCGATGGGGAGGAGGGGGAGGAGGAGGAGGAGGAGGAGGAGGAGGAGGAGGAGGAGGAGGAGGAGGAGGAGGAGGCGGAGGAGGAGGAGGAGGATGAGGAGGAGAAGGAGGAGGAGGAGGAGGATGCATACACATCGTGTGGCTGGCCTGGGCGAGAGGTGGAGCTGCATACGTCCGGATGTCTGTCCAGCGCTCTGCCCACCACGTACGCGGGACGATGGACTCTCCTCTTGAGGTGAAAAAAGGCGGTGGTGAGCGCACGAGGTAACATCGGCGCCGCCCTACGGACGGCGTCTGGACGAGCTGCGCGCCGCAGCTGTGAGGAGAGAGGTGCATGCATGTCGAGGGGGGCCCGCGCGCGCGGAAGGTTGATGGGAGTGCGCGAGACAGCGCGGGACCCATCTTGGGGAGGTGGATGACCGAACCTCCCTCCCACGTAGAACCTTGACACGGGCGGGCTTCGGGGTCGGCGGATCCGATTTTTCCAGTTTTCTTTCAATGTATATATTGATAGCCGTGTAGAAATCGAACCCGCCGTAAAAATGGAGGCGGATCCAGAAAATCCGAAATCGGATCCGCGCGGACGGAAATCGGATCCGCCGAAACAGAAACCAAGACCAGAATTGGATCCGCGCGAACGTCATTGGATCCGACGGCGGTTATCTCACACGCGTCTGCTCAAGACTTCAAACCGTCGTTCCGGACCAAAAACAATGTCTTGGGGATGGGCGTTTTGGCCTTCGGACTCGTTGGTTACCACCTAGCCCCGAAACGCACTGGCGTTTCGGGCTTCGGACTTGTCGGTTGCCACATAGTCCCGCGGGCCCCGCGCGTGCGACCTTGGCGGGGGCGGCCAGGATGCGCGACGATGGAAACCGCGCCGAGCGCAAGGCGCCGCACCATCGCGTGAGAGAGCGCACAGGCACTCCGTTGGGACAGGAGACGCAAGGCCGAAACGCATTTACGAGGGACGAAAGATTTTCCTCTCGAGGTGAAAAGGGCGATGGTGAGCGCGCGAGATAGCATCGGCGCCGCCCTACGGACAGCGTCTGGACGAGCTGCGCGCAGCAACTGGGAGGGGAGAGGTGTACGTATGTTGACGGGGACCCGCGCGCGCGGAAAGTTGATGGGAGTGCGCGAGACAGCGCGGGACCCATCATCTGGGGAGGTGGATGACCGAACCTCCCTCCCACGTAGAACCTTGACACGGGCGGGCTTCGGGGTCGGCGGATCCGATTTGTTGGTGTCCCGTTTTGTTATAAACGTCCTAGTTTTTAAATTTTGTAGAAATCGAATCCGCCGTAAAAGTAGGACCGGACGCGGATCCAGAAAATCCGAAACCGGATCCGCGCGGACAGAGATCGGATCCGCCGAAACAGAGACCAAGACCAACATTGGACCCGCGCGAATTTCATTGGATCCGACGGCGGTTTTATCATACGCGTTTGCTCAAGACGTCAAACCGTCGTTCCGAACCAAAAAAGAAGCACTTTCGACCCGTGGACGTATGGCCGTGCAGGCTGGGCTCAGGCATGTGCGTCCAGCAAGTGGCCTCCGCGCGTTCCACATATGATGCCAGCCACGTGTGTTTCCAGGGTCCTGGTAGTAAGGTCGACCAGATTCGGCCCAGTGGTGTGTGGTATTGTCGTTGTCGGGCCCGCCGCCTGCTTGCCCATATCGTTTTCTGATATTACCTCTTCTGGTAAAGTCTCTGGCGCGCTTGGAGTCGCCGATCAGACGAGAATTCTAGACGCTTCGCATAACCCCTCCAGCGCACCCAGAAACGATGCCCAGACGAGTTGCCCTGATCACGGATGTGCAGAAGCATGCAGTCGAATAAAGAGCTGGGTAAGACGCCATTCCCCAAGAGGAGGATGAAGGAGGAATCGGAGGAGCAAAATGAGGAGTACGGAGAGGGGGGGGGGGGGAGGGAGGAAGGATGAGGAATTGGAGGATGGGAACAAAAAGAGGAGGAGGAGGAGGAGGAGGAGGAGGAAGAGGAGGAGGAGGAGGAGAAGGAGGACGAGGACGAGGACGAGGACGAGGACGAGGACGAGGACGAGGACGAGGACGCAGACGAGAAGGAGGAGGAATGCGAGTAGAAAGGCCAGAGGCTCGGAGTCTCTTCAGATGTCTTCAGAGAGTTTCTTGGAGTCTTCTCGGGGCGTCTTGGAAGTTTCTTGGCAGTCCCGGGGGCCTCTTGGGGGTCTCTTGGGAGCCTCTTGGAGGCATCTTGGGGGCGTCTTAGAGGCCTCTGGGGGGGCCTCCTGCAGCCTCTTGGGGGTGTTTTGGGAGCGCCCTGGTACGCGAGGAAGCTTGTGAATCGCCGCGGTATGTCTGGAGAGCGATTTCGAGGCCGATTGTAGAATCCTGACCGACCCGCGCCCACGGCTAGCCAGCTTCCTTGGGTCCTTCAGGCGTGCCTGGCCTGTCACACGCGGCGGCAGGCGTCTTGCGTCTGGCGCGAGCACCCGGCTGGCCTCACATTCATCGCCCGCGCGTGCGGTCTAAGTGTTTTTGTGCCCTCTCGGTCCGTCGCGTCCGTCTGTCAGAGCATGCGTGCGGCATTCCCCGCACTCTGCCAGCGGGGCGAGGAGAGGAGGATTCGGTGCGATCGAAATTGGTACGGAAAGATGGGTGACGCAGACGGTTAGCAGCTCCTGCCCATTTTGAACAGGGCTCGCTGTCGGTGTCGCGTGGACGTTGCCAATCCTCGACAGAAGGCCGCCTGCCCAACAGCGGCCGTTGCCGGTTTTGGACAGCGTTTGCTGTTGGGCATCGCACCCATTGTTTCCGTTCGAGCTTCGGTCATGCCAAAAGGTGACGGATAGGAAGAGCGGGAGGGACATGAGAAAGGAGGGAGGTGTCGTCAGGGAGGTGTCGTCAGGGGAGCTTGTGTTAAGTCGGGCGTGCCCCTCTACAGGAGGAAAATTCAAAAATAGTAAAAACATGGTCAGGGGACGATTTCTTAACTACCTTTGCCCACTTGGGGGGGTATTTGTTGAGTATCTCTGATCTTTCGCCCACGACCCTCCTGCGGGGGGACACGCCCGACTGGAAGCTTGTGCCGAGCTCTTCCGCGGCGCGGCTGGCGGGCGACGACCGGGCACCCTGGGCCCGAACGGCTTCCAGGGGGGAGGGGGGCCCATTACGTTCGAGCCCTGTGGCCCCCCTCCTCTTCCTCCTCCTCCTCCTCCTCCTCCTCCTCCTCCTCCTCCTCCTCCCCCTCCTCCTCCTCCTCCTCCTCCTCCTCCTCCTCCCCCTCCTCCTCCTCCTCCTCCTTCCTCCTCCTCCTCCTCCTCCTCCTCCTCCTCCTCCTCCTCCTCCTCCCGAAATTGGTATTGATGGCGTGGCGACGGGGGGGGGGCGTGAGCGGACAGAGATTATTCGAACCCCAGAGCACCGCCTCTGCCGAGATCAGCATGGACGTCGGGGGCGCGGGGGCGATTTTAAGATCTCCCTCGAGCGTGGAAGGGCTCGAATATATATATATATATATATATATATATATATTGTCCACCTGCTGGAGGGGAGGGCGTTGGCCGCACCTGGCCGGGGTGCTCCTCTCGGGGTGCTCCGGCCCGGTGCGCGCCCCTCCCCGCGCGGATCCCCGCCAGGGCCAGGACGCGGACACCGTGGCGGAGCAGAGCAGGCGCTCGCTGCCGCGCTCTCCCAGTCTTATCACCACCCACCAGACCACCCCAACCCGACCCGAAGGCTCAGATCTACCCTCGATTTCCAGTGGGGGGGGGGGTCGGGAAACATGGGAAAAACACATGTGGAACCCTTACCCCCCCCCCCCAACCCGAAATTCGGGTCTTCGGGTTGGGTTGGGGTGGTCTGGTAGGTACTCCGTCTTGCCGCGGTCTCTCTTTGTGTCGGGGGTGAGCAGACCTCCTGACCCGGACGCGTCGATTGGTGAATGGTCCGTTTTCGGTTCTCGGGAGGGCGCCGCGGCCGTCATCTTCCAGGCTTTGCGCCCGCCAGGTTTGGGCCCGAGGTCGTTGTCACGAAACCACATTTTCCGAAAGGGAGATCTGTCCATCCCCGATTGCGGGCCCCGGAAACGGCAGGGCCGTTTTTTCACCGCTTCCCGAAAAAAGTGCCCCTCGAGAACGGAAGCGGCAAGAGAAAAACGGCGCCCCGGCACGGAAAGACACCGGCTCCAGGATGGGAGCCGGAGCCGGGAGCGGTCAAAAGACGGCGACGGAGCCGGTCACCGGCTTTAAACATGTATCTTTAAACCGACGCTGTACCGATCATATGGCGTTTAAGCATGTATTTTTTTTGAAGTACGTTTTGTCGTCAAAAGCTTCGCCAGTAGAATGACATTACTGACCGGTGAGAAAACGGCGTCGGAACCGGCAAACACAAAACGGCAAAGCGGAGCCGGTTAAAAAAAAAAACAAAAAAAAAAACGGCCTTGTCGCGTCCTTGGCCCACGAAGCGCCGTGTCTCCCCAGTGCCCCACCGCGGGCCCTCCGCGGGGCGGGTGGGCGGCGCACGGCGCCGCGGTCGCGGTTGGCGGAGGAGGAGGAGGAGGAGGAGGAGGAGGAGGAGGAGGAGGAGCTGGAGGAGGAGGAGGAGGAGGAGGGAGGAGGAGGGGGAGGAGGAGAGGAGGAGGGAGGAGGCGGAGGAGGAGGAGGAGGAGGGAGGAGGAGGAGGAGGAGGAGGAGGAGGAGGAGGAGGAGGGGAGGGGAGGAGGGGAGGAGGAGGGAGGAGGAGGAGGAGGAGAGAGAGAGGAGGAGGAGGAGGAGGAGGAAGAGGAGGCTTTGATCCAGACGCGCCGGATCCCAGGTACGGAATGGCGGGGCGCGTCCTGTCAGTGTGGCTGCTGGGCCAGAGCTGGCTGCTGGGCCAGAGCTGCTGCTGGGTCAGGTACGGCAGGTTTGCGTCGTGTCGACCAGCGGCGACCCCGCCGCCCGCATTCAACGTTGAACGCCGCCGGCGACCTAGAATCGGTCGATGATGAACGATCTGATGTTTCGGAATCGGCCGATCGTTCAACTTTGAACGATCCCCTCGGTGTCAGAAACCAACGCCGAAGTCGGCACGACACGAACCTGCCGTACGGAATGGCGGGGCGCTTCCGGTCAGTGTGGCTGCTGGGCCAGAGCTGGCCCGATTGGCAGAGGGGGCACATCGAGACGCCCGCGCCGTTGTTGTTTTGAAGATCTCGTCGAGCACCGGTCATCGAGAAGCTGACAGGGGGGAGTCCCGTCTTCCCACGGCCGCCGCAGGCGAAGGAAAGGCAGTGCTCTCTTCGCTCACAAAGGATGGGTCAGGACGGGAGATATGCACTTCGGACACGTGAACATACGCACTCTGCTGCGCACGTCCATACTACGTGTGTTGCCTTGCGTTGTAGAACGGCTACGGAGGGGGACGGAAAAACGAACGGGCGGATAGAATGCTTGATCGATCTGAACCGTCTTTGCACATTCTGCGCAAGAGTCGAGGAGGCGCCTTCCTTGCACCAGGCCGTTTTTACTTAACAGCGAAGACTGATAGGTTTCTAGTGGGATCAAAAGAGAGCAGCAGATCACTCCACAGGGGGGTCCGGGCAGGTGTTGGGAGTTGCCGGGCGGCAGTGAGCCGGGCTCGTTTTTCACCAACAGTCACACACTTCGTGCTCTTCGCCTTCCCAGAACTCCATTCCCAGGCCACATTCTGGGGGGCCGGATGCAACAGTCACCACAAAGTGCTCTTCGACATCCCAGAACGCCATTCCCGGGCCACATTCTGGGGGGCCGGATGCAACAGTCACACACTTCGTGCTCTTCGAGTTCCCAGAACTCCATTCCCGGGCCACATTTTGGATGCCCGGAGCCAACTGTAGGCCACTTCGTGCTCTTCTATTTCCCAGAACTCCATTCCCGGGCCACATTTTGAATGCCCGGAGCCAACTGTAGGCCACTTCGTGCTCTTCGAGTTCCCAGAACTCCATTCCCGGGCCACATTTTGAATGCCCGTAGCCAACTGTAGGCAACTTCGTGCTCTTCGACTTCCCAGAACTCCCATTCCTGGGCCACATTTTCAGCAGGGGCAAGAGCACGACGAGGAGGAGGACGAGCAAGACCAGGAGGACGAGGACGAGCAGGAGCAGGACGAGGAGCAGGAGGAGCAGGAGAAGAAGGACGAGCAGGAGAAGGAGGAGGACGAGCAGGAGGAGGAGGACGACCAGGAGGAGGAGGACGACCAGGAAGAGGAGGAGGAGGAGGAGGGGAGGGGGAGGAGTACCAGGAGGAGGAGGAGGAGGAGGAGGAGGAGGAGGAGGAGGAGGAGGAAGAGGAGGAGGAGGAGGAGGAGGACGAGGAG